AGGATAAAGCCTGGAGAGGGACAAAAAGTAGTCCCCAGACAAAAGATAATCTAACAAATCCACGCATATTTTTCAAAGCAAGGAGCCGAAATTCAACTTGGCTGAACAGGAAACCTAAATTTCTATGAAAATACGTACTTTTGAGAATTTAAACCCAGTTTTCTAAAAAAAAATGTGCATGCTTCTAAAGATGTACCACCACGTATGGATTCAGCAAGGTCCATTCTACAAAATCCAAGTCTATTTTTCAAAGATTGGAGCTGAAATTCAACTTATCAGAACAGAAAATCCAAGTGTCTATTAAAATACGTACTTTTGTGACTTTACTCGGTTTTCTCAAAAATTGAGAATTTCAACCCTCACGTATGGATTCAGCAAGTTTCATTCAATAAAATCCAAGCACACATTTCAAACAATAGAACCGAAATCCAACCTGGCTTCAAAAAAAAATCTACCATCACGTTTGAATTCACAAAGGTCTATTTTATAAATTCCAGGCCTGTTTTTCAAAGGACGGAGCCAATATCCAACTTGGCTGATCAAGAAACCCGAATTTCTATAAAAAATACGTACTTTTGTGGATGTAAACCCAGTTTTCTCAACAATTGTGCTTACTTAAAAAAAAAATCTACCATCAGGTGGGTAGATCACCTTTTCGTGGTACGTTACGGAAGATCTACCACCGATTCCTAGTCCTGACTACTTCAAACTAGAGGAACAGGATTTTTCAGTAATCCAAGGAACACATCTTAGTCCTTGTTACTTTTTATGCCTTGTTGATAGTGACAAGACTCGGCTTTGTCTACCGAAGATGATCTTGAAAGAAGGAAAAAAATGAGTTAGTTGTCTTCATCTATGTGATTCCTAATCTTCTATTCGTTGTTCCCTAGTTTGAAGTGGTTAAGACTAGGGTTCTGATGCATGGTCATTATCGGTGTCATAACTTAATTTTGTTGCTAAGGAATCCAATTTTTAATGACAAAGGGGCGCGTCTTTGGAGGGTGTTTCAACACTCCGAAGGGTATAAATAGCGGGACCTTTCAATTAGAGTCGGATCCTTGCGATAAATGCAAGAGTGACAACTGTAAAAAATCGAATACTTCATCATTTCTCAATAGTGATGGAGTAATACGACATGCACTAAACTAAGGACCCGGGTTATACTACAACAGATCAATTTACTGGTCGCAGTAGTGTTAGGTCCCGTACAGAGGAAAAAAAAGAACACTCGAAGGTTCATTCTTTAAATTTTAATTTTTAAAATATGTGAATCTCACAAGAACGAGGAAGGGATCTAGAGGATCGTAATCTACACACCTAGAAATAACTACTCTTACACGAGACGTAATCTTTTTTGGACGTAAATTATGGAACGTACACAAACATTCAACTATGAAATAATTGCTAATTTTCTAATCTGCTAATTTCAAATAACAGACTAAAGTGGTAATTTTTAGACGGTAGATGAGGAGATGAAAGTATAGAATTGATAGTTCCGTTAGAGTACGGCAGTGTGAAAATTGCATATAGAGAGTAGAAAGCGAGCAAGGACAAATTAATGAAGGTACAAATCAGTTTAATCATCTCTCTTTGTGATGGTGAAGGGTATCCCCCCCGCCCCCCGCCACCGCTGGCAAAAAGCGATGATCACCGACACGCTCAAGTACCGACGATGTGTTTGAAACAGTTCTACCGATTTATACCGCACTCCAGTCGTAGGTTTTGGAAATTCCAGCTATTGTCACCGACAAACCGACATGAATGACCATAGCTAAAACAAGAAAATGTATGACCAAAGCACACTACTGACATCTGTCTAAGTGTTCGCGGGAAATATTTAGCTAAGCCATGAACCCGCATTCAAAAGTTATGAATTGGTTCGTGTCTGATCTATTCTGTACAAATTATTTTTATCTAGATCAAAAAATCCTATGGTCACAACACATTTATATCGGCCATTTACGATTTTCGGGCATAAATCAAAATTAAGTGTCATGTCGGTTTGTCGGTGCTATTGTTACCTCTACCACGTTATGTGTCCCTGTCATCGTCGACTTGACGATCTCGAGGGGACACTGGTAGGGTAGGTGCTGCTACTGTACCTTTCGGCCAATAACAGTAATTTATGGTATGTAAACATTTCATGTAAAATTAAGTGTTCTCAAACCGAAACATAAGCAAGTCGACGAAGAGAACGTTTGATTGAATTGATTTTCTCGTTTCTTTCAACTGATACTTATGTCAAAAGGGCCGCTTACATGTGTCGGTCTCAGGGAGCTGAAAAAGACTTTTTCGTAGTGTGTACGTTAAAAGCTACTTAAATCACTTCAGGAAAGCTCAGACTAACATTAAATATAATTCAATCACTCAACAGAAAAGTTTGAACTCCCTAAGGAAGGTATGAACCACTTCAGAAAAGGTTGGACTCTGTTTATAAATTTTAAGAAAAAAAAAGTGTTGGTTCACTTCGGAAAACTTTCTACACTTTTAGAAAAGGAAGATAACCTAAACAAGATTGTGTTCTTGCCAAATGCCAAAGCAGTTAAAAAAATATGGGCCTCACTTGGGAAAATGTCAACCCCACACTGACAAGTTTGGATTCAGTTCGGAAATAGTTTAATCAATGCAAGAATCTTTGGATTAATTTACGCAGAAAAAAAAATACTGAATTTTACTGGTGATGTAAACATCCATGCATGCAAACATTCATGCGTGTAGACTTCTTTTTCACGTAAACTAGCAGCTTGCAAGAAATGTTGCAAACAAAGATGCATGATATGTATCATAAATTTACACGATCTATAATGTAAACTTATAGGATATATGACGCTCCATTTATGTGCATCATTGTAACGTAAAGTTACACTACATTTTTTAACTGTGTAGGAAAGGGATTAAATCAGCTAATGTGGCCTCACTCCAGAAAATTCGAAACCAATTCTTTAAAGCATGGGTTCGTAATATGTTGGATCACTTCAGGAAAATTTTGACAACTTTAAACAGGATTGAATAACATAACAGAAAAGTTTATACCCCGTTCACATTACAGCATATATCACGTGATATACGCTGTCTTGCAATGAGCACTCATACATCTAGTTTTCACTGGAAATCCTATGTATGAGTGCTCATTGCAAGACAGCCTATAATACTTGAAATAGGCTGTAATGTGAACGGGATATTAGACTCAGTTAAAAAAATGATGATGACTTATTCGAAAGTTTGAACTCACTTCAAAACAATTCAGACTCAGTTTGAATCTGCTTTGAAAAGTGTTTCTTCAATTAGGAATTTCCTGATTCGTTTCTGATTTGGTGTCAGTTCAAAGACAATTTTGAAAAAAAAATGGATTTAGCTCAAAAATTGTTGAATCACTGTAGAAAATAAATGAATCATTAAGTAGCATTGCAGCAGGTTTGTAAGTTGAAAAATTTACACCGAATGCGAAAATCGGGCGACTACGGTGGGCTGGGCACATCGTAACAATGTCGGATAACGACCTAATGAAAATGGTTCTTGGTAGTGACCCGACTGGAACAGGGTGAAGATGTGCGCAGCGAACAAGACCCCCCAGATTGAAACTGGCTTACCTAGTAAGTTGCCAAACAAGATGCCGTTTTCAACAACTGAAACCGGCTGATCCGATTTCAAGGACCTGGCATGCTGTACTGGTCTAGTACCAATTTATGTAAAAATTCTGTAAAAGAACAAAGTGATTTTCTATAACATAATAAAATCTAGAAAAGCGAGTATCAATACCCAAATGAATTAGCGATACTCGAGAACAAAGGAACGATCCTGTTATTTTTATCGTCTGATCCGTTTCCTAGACGAGTGTGTCGAAGGGAAGCAAAATAGGAGCAGCTTCAGGAGTCCGTGATGTTCCGTGATATGGTCATCCGACGCTTTCCAAACGCGAATATTGTTTGCCCGACTTAGTTACAAATAAAAGTTTGTAAAAAATAACGTAACAACAATTAATCACTATTAAATCTACACTTCAACACCCAGTGCATGAAAAATAACAATACCCTGATTTTTTTAATTCCCCCTTTGATATATTCCAAACTTTTGAAGAGGGGGGGGGTGACAAAAAAAAACTTGAAATTTGTTCCGGTCTTAGCATTTTTTTTAATATCTAAATTCGATTTCCACTAATTAAATAATAAAGTATACCTGAAGACACTAAAATCATAATCATAATAATAAAGAACATGATACTTCAAGAGTACAAATATGTATGGAATTACTCAAACTACCGTTGTTTTTTTTATTTTTGTGCGTGCGTCTGGACGTCAGCTGTGTAGGTATAGAAGCCAAATATAGCCTACTCTGATCGTTGAAGGGAATCTGCTATTGCTTTGGCATGGGGGGTGTCAAAATATTTCCCACAAAATGCGGATCACGTTCGGTGTCAGTAAGTCCCATATGGATTCTTGTGAGAAATCATTTATCCATTAGAATCGATTGTAAACTACCGGCATTTTACACTGAGCACTAAAACTTACATGTTGTGTTCAGAAAATATCGTGAAAAATACCAAAACAAGGTTGTCCCATCCGTAAGAATCTACCGAAAAAAAAATCAACAGCGTTTTCTCGGCTTGCTGTTTTTCCTGGGACTGATATGCTTTAATGAACAGTTCTGGTCCGAAGTATCTCTGTAAAAATTGCGTTAGATCTTTCATTAAAAATGAGATTTGCCAGCCTGATCAAGACACCTGCAGAAAAAGTGCTGACCAGCATTTCGTATTTCGGCAATATTTCCAGTGCTCATTAATGATGTTCTTTGCATGAGTGATCGTCTCAACTACACAGCAAAACCGTATGAATTGCCGTCGATGATTATAAAGAAAATATGCATATTGTCATAAATTTGTAATTTTCCACCCATGATGAAAACCTGCAGCCTTTGAGTAATCTTCGATCTTATAGCTTCAAAGGCATCAACATATCTACAATCTACATAACCTCACTACAACCCTCTTCTCTATATTACAGACTCCTCTGCGAGCCAGTCAACCAGGACCCCTCGTTCCACCTAGAATACCGCGGACCCGTGGTAATGAAAGGCAAACCGGAACCGATGGACTGCTGGTTCGTCACCCGGGAGATACTCAACAGCAATGGGCAACCACCACCACCGGGAAGCACCCCACCACCCACTGGCTCCAAAAAGTAGAAACCCCATTTTTCCCGTTTGCCACCTTTCGGCACAGCCATCTTAGTGCGAATATGAGATAACCGAAAACAAAACAAAATCCTAACAAAGTAAACCAAACAAAATAAAGTGAGATTTAACTAAGATTCGATTACTTGCAAGAATCCAAATCCGTAGTGAGAACTAGTAGCTCGAGTAGATTATTTCTATTGAAAAGTAAGACCGAACAGTAGCCAAACAAAAATACAAAGAGAAGAATATTTATCTAACAAAACAAAAACTTTCAAACCAAGCCAAACATGACGAAAAATAATTGCTTTGCGAAAAAACAGAAAATACGCGATTAGATGTTGTAATTCACCTGTTAAACAAATCGAGAAAAGTAAACCCAAAAAAATCAAAGTAGAACAAACAGAAAAAAGTGTAGATTCTTCAATCTAAAAATTGAAACCTGATCAAAGCCATTTCTAAACTTGTAGATGCGAATGAGGCAAGACACCGTTGTTACCTAAAGCTTTGTCCTATTAGTAGACCTGTTTTGTATTGTTTTATAATTGACGGATATTTTTGTAACATGAAAGTTAGATTTTTACGGCAAACCAGCGGATGACTCTTTCCTAACAAACCTACCGCAGGCGATGAGATGATATTAGATGGATTATTTTGTTGTTGAAAGTATTATCGTTGAAATGAGATATGTTGTCCTAACCGGGCTGAAGGGGTGGTTAGATTAAATCCACGGAGCCCGTACTTACTTACTACTTTGGCCAACAAATAAGTAAATACATAAACACACAAAATAAGAAATAATCAAAACATGAATGGATACATCTATCTAGCAGTGAACTTTGCGTGTCATTTGAAACAGTGGAAAAGAAGAGGATTAAACAAGCCCACAACAGCTCGAATACATATGATGTGAACCAAACCAAACGGGGGCACTTGTTGTTTTTATTTTCATGAGAAAGCCCTGGTAGGGAAAGGTACAATGTATTCTTTTTATTCCAAATTCAATTTAAATTACATTTCATTTTAACATAGGTGCCCCAGCTACTACCGTAGCTTACCAGCCTTAATTGTTATGATATATATCTAAGTGTTTTACATTGTTCCTTCCTTGGAAATTCAGTATTTAAAACAGGTTTTCAAAACCTGCATGTCAGTATAACAATTGACTTCTTTAAACTAAAAACTATCACTAAATATTATCTAAGTATAAAGGGAATTGAGGATTTCAACGACTTTTGCCTGACATTATTAATTATTTTGTCCCCCAGGAATCATCAAAAATATTTTCCCGAGAGAAAATATTCAGATAATCCCGAGCAACCTGATTCTCAATAGGACTAATAATACTCAAACTGAAATTATGGGAACTCTCGAATTGCTTAACAAGTTTCTGGGCTTTTTACGAATTTGTGGCCAAAATTTTACCACCTTTTATAAGAGCTTGAATAGGCTTTTGAGGTCTTTAAAAAAATGTGAGTTGTCAAAAGGGTTAGGAACTTGCGTCTAATTTGACACAATATTTTCAAAAGATTTGTTCCTCATGACAGATAATCACTTTTTAATTTGATTTTGAAAATCAGATAAATTTTATGGCACGATCGCGTGTTCTTTGATATTGCCACCAACGAACATTTTTCCGACGGATCAAGAGCTGAAGATCGTCGTTTATTATAATTGAATCGAATTTAACCTCGCATTTTGGTACTGAGGCAGCTCTTGCTTCAACTATAGAAGTAGCCAGAGATTGAAGAGCATAATTAATTTCATCTTTGGTTTGCAAAGGAATGTGCATTGTGCCTTGAGCATTATTCCATGAGTGGTGTTTTGCATTAATGAATGATTTAGACCAATGACGGGTAAGCTTCTGAAGGTCACCCTTGAGAAAATTCCTCTGCTATATACGTAAGTTATCTAAATTTTGTATCGACAGAAACTTCCAAAGTTTCAAAAGAAAGAATTTGGTGTTTGATGCATCTATAAAAAAAATGTTGGCAACGCCACCACAGGCACCATTAAATCATTTGCAACCCTTTTAACCTTATGGTCAGGTTTACGTAACGTTTCAGTTATAACGGTGATATGCACATTATGAACTCTCAAAAAGTGAAATAGAGATCGAGCATTCCAATTCAAAATATTCAATGATTTAAAATCCATTACTGAATTTCTAAGTCATGACGATATTGTTCACAAATTTTACTCCAATTTGGATAGCGTCAAACATGAAATTAGTTTTAAGCATACCAGTAATCATATCAATTAATGATTTCTGTAAAAAAAATCCAAAACCCAAAATTTTCAAAATTTCCGTTAGAATTACATAAAGAGAGAAAGGCAAACGAAAAAGACAGGGGCACATCTAAGTTCCGGCCGATCGCTCTCACATCCTGCATGGCCAAAGGTATCAAACGGATGGTGAACCGTCGACTCAAGATGTTCCTTGAGACCAACAGCTTGCTCGACCACCGACAACATGCCTTTCGACAAGGTTTCGGTACGTCCACGTACTTTGCCACTGTGGGGGACGTCCTCAAGGAAGCTTACGACCAGGAACACCACGTTGGAATCATCTCTTTGGACATCTCCAAGGCTTTCAACCGGACGTGGACGCCAGCCGTCCTGGAAAAACTTACAAACTGGGGCTTGAAGGAGCATATGATGTATTTCATACGAAACTTCTTGACCGACCGGTCATTCCGTGTATTGGTGGGGAGCACACGGTCGAAAAGTTTCAACGAGGAGACCGGAGTCCCTCAAGGCTCCGTTATCGCAGATACGTTGTTTCTGGTGGCAATGAACGGGGTATTTGACCGGCTACCTGGGTGCATTTACATATTTGTTTACGCTGACGATGTGCTGATTGTGGCCACCGGTTCTATACAGATCCGAACCCTACGGCAAGCGCCAGCGGTAGCCTCTGCCGTCGTCAAATTGACCGACTCGATGGGTTTCCAAATGTCCGCCAGGAAGAGCATCCGATGCCACGTATGTCCGTCTCAGCACCGAGTCAATAGCACCCTAATTACGATCCACGACCAAGCCATTCCAAACAGGAAAACAGTTCGCGTCCTCGGCGTACTGATCGACCGAACCTTCGACCAGCATTTCCAACAGGTCAAAAACGACTGCCACAGTAGACTCAACCTCGTTAAAACAATCTCTCGGCCTCACCGATCGAACAACTACGATGTACGGATCAGGGTGGCGCGAGCCATCATCGACAGTAGGTTGCTTTACGGGACGGAATTTACCTGTATCGCTTCCGAGAAGCTGGTTAGAACCCTAGCACCGGTCTACAACAGCTACATCCGCATCATCTCTGGTCTCTTTCCATCCACTCCAGCAGACGCCACATGCGTATTGTTCTGCTGAAACGAAAATATTGCCACAAAAGCCGCCGCCTTTTCCGCCAAGACCTCCGGAAACAATAGGATCTTTCTCCTCGACGAGGGGAACAGAGTCTTCCGCACGGCCGCCGACATCGACCTCCCTCCAGTGGCCAAAGTCCATTGGCATGGAGAGAAAAGTTGGCACTCTTCACGTATCCAATTGGACAATCGGAGCAAGAACCGCTTCAAAGCAGGGGATGCATCCGTGATTTTGCGCAGATCGGTCGTCGAGTTACTTGGGTCCAACTATGCCAACCACGTACACCGGTACACCGACGGCTCCCGATCGATAAACGGAGTAGGTATCGGGATTTTCGGAGACGGTATTGCTGAAAGCAGCAGTCTTCCTGCACAGTGCTCGGTTTTCTCGGCCGAGTCTACAGCGATCTTTCGTGCCGCTACGACGCCAGCCAACAAACCGATACTTATCTTAACCGACTCACACAGCGTCGTTCAAGCGATCACCTCGGAAGCACCAAAACACCCATGGATCCAGGCAATTATCAAGTACGCCCCACCGAACACCGTGTACACATGCATTTCCGGACACTGCGGAGTGCCATGTAACGAGTCTGCTGATCACCTTGCCGGAGCCCTGACATCGGGTCCCAGACTCACCGACAAGGTACCCCTACAGTACGTCAGACGGTGGATCATGCGGACCATTCGAGCGGCATGGGAGGCCGAGTGGTTCCGCAACAGAACTGCCTTCATCCGCAAAGTGAAAGGGTCAACTGGAGCGAACAGGACAACCTGAGGGATCAACGCGTGATTTCGCGGCTTCGGACCGGGCACACCAAACTCTACTCTGCCGTTCCGCAGAAGCTGCATTATCTGAGGGGTACCTTACACCGTCGAACACATCCTGTGCAACTGCCCGGAGTTCCTAAATCTTCGGAAGTCACTCTGTCTAACTTCCAGCATCAGGGATCTGCACGGGAATGATACTCCGGCCTCGGCAGCACTAGTAATCTTCTTAAAAGAAGCAAAAATCTACCACTTGGTATAGTAGGAAGGACCCAACTGAGCTCTATTTTGTTCGGATTATTCGTTTGTAGCTTGTTTTAAATCATTTTGTTTTCTGTTGTTCTTCTGTTTGACTATTTTATTTTTGGTTCCGTGACCGCATGGTGGCACTTACGGCACTGGGTGAGGTTTTGCAAATTTCCTCCAGTTTTCCTGAAGTGTTCCCACTTCATTCAGACATGGAGCATAAGGCTAGCTTTTTCTTAGGCGTTAAGGTTGTTTAGTTCACTAGACTTGAAGTGAACTGAATAAAAATCGTTGCGTTTGATTTGAGCCAGGGATTCACCACTGGGCCGAACTTTCACGACAACTTTGAACAGATGTTCAGTTTTGGTGTCGTAAGTGAAAAATTTCTGTTGCTGCTCAGTAATATACTTGAGAAGACGTTTGAATCCATCCAAGGTTTCAGCCAATACACGACATTCACTACGACGGCCAATTTCAAGTGAAAATTTGAATTTAACAACGTTCAAAAGTTCCGTGCGTATAGCATGGATATCGGAAGTGGTTATCACAATAGGGGGGACCTTTTTCTTCTTGGCATTAAGCCGGGAATGTTAAATGGAATTTTGCTTGGATGATGGATCATTCCCATCA